AGACAGATCAGGCTTTATCACAGCAGGGTTCAGTGTTCAGGGACTATGAATTTAGAAAACAGTCAGGAGGAAGAAGGGAGGGGAGGGGCTCGTGATTACTTCCTCCCCAGGTGACCACATACCTTTATCTCTTGTTCACTGTCAGGGGAAGGGAATGACTCACCTCCAAGCATCCCAATGGAAAGGATGTTTCGTCCAGACTAAATTGAAGTGGAAAGCACTGTTCGTCATTTAATTTCTAAGTGACCTCGTGCACACAGTAACATTTCAGGCAACTGCACACAGTTGCCAGTGTGAGGTGGGAGGCAATACATGACACCGAATGGGAATGCAGGCACTCTATGCAAAGCAGATAAATTATGAGACAAAAAGCACATGTGGGGAAGAAGAATCCCATTAGGGTTTTATTATCCGGCCATGCAGCGGCACCAGTTCTGGGGCTCTTTTGCAAAAGGCTGGGATTTTGGAATGGCACCAAAGAATCCTGAGCTGCCATCCCCACCTGGAGGTCCCACCGTGGCTGTGGATGATGGGAGCAAAATAGAAATATTTGAATCCAAGAATCATGGAGTTGGAAGGGGCCTCGAGGCCATGGGGGCCAACCCCCCCCTCAAGGCAGGAATCCAACTCCAAGCAGATCTGACAAAGGGTGGTCCAGTTTTCTCTTGAAGGCCTCCAGTAGCTTGAAAGCGTTTGAAAAGCTAAATCTTTCAGAGGAGGGGCAGGATCCGTTCTCAATCCTCCCAGTGTGCAAGACATGCAATAATGGGCAATAATAGGAAGCCAGATTTTGGTGGGAGATCAGGAAAAACTTCCTAACTGTTAGAGCAGTGCAACAACGGAACCCACTGTTACATACAGCACTGATGTTACCTGTCTGTCATGGGTTTGGAGGGAAAGTTCCATCCTATGGGGAGTGGAAGGCGGGACATCAGGAGGAGGGGCTGTACTGTATAAATATGTGATGCGTCAAATTTTAGACAACCCCCCTTGCAGATTTCTTTTTATTTGGATCTCTGCCTTGAGCGGGGTCGGTGGGTGGGTTAGACTCAATGGCCTCAGAGGCCCCCTTTCAACTTCACGAGTGTATTTTAAACATTGTGACTTCTTTTGATTGTAGGTAAGACTGTTCTTGTTATCTGCCATTAAGTTGGAGCCGACCTACAGCGACCCTAAGAGGGCCTTCAAGGTAAGTGAGATGTTTAAGGAGTGGTTTTATCCGTTCCACTCCCCCAGTGAGTTTCCGTGGCTGAGAGGAGATTCGAACCCAGGCCTTGTGAGTCCTAGTCCATCTCTCTCTGTCCACCACACGATAAGGATAATTTTTTGAAAAAAAACATTATTGTCCCAATGTGTTGTCCAGTTGCTTCCCACTTATAACGACCCCCCCAAAACTCGGTTTCTCAGGTATGTGCCATGTTCAGGCAGTGGCTTTTATCACTGCCGCCCCTGCAATGCATTTCCACAGCCATGTCATGATTTGAACCCAGGCCATCCAAAGGCTAGTTTCAGACTCAAACTGGTACACCCCTCCTGGGCTTTGATTTTAGAAAAAAAATGTTATGAAGAAGCAAGTCGGTAGAGCTTTGAAAAGATATCCCAAGAGGCTAATTTGTTTTGCAAAGTGTATTCCCCCCACAGGTGAGCCCACAAATGGAGACCGGGGGGGGGGGGGGAGGATTTTGTATCCCATTTTGGCTTTGGGTGAAGGGGTGCTTGCTGTGCACCCCTTTTCTGGAACACTACCCGAACTTTTCTGGAACACTCCTCGGACTCCCCTGCGTGTCATTGCAAACCACCTCTAGAAAGCCCTTCCTGGACTAGCCTCAAATGGTTTTGGCTCGAATGAGGTACTTAGGCCTGATCCTCGTGGGCATGGCAGGCGACGGTGGAAGCAACCCATATACTAGGGCAACCCGCACTCGCTCCCCGGTGGGATGTCAATAGAAAGAGCGAGGCAATGAGGTAGAGGAGATGCAGGATGTGCAACGGAGGACTGGAGTGGCATCAACAGCTCCGGGTGTGCCCCTCCTCAGACATGCCGATTATTCCAGGGGGCAGGAGGGCCATGGACCCATCTCACTTCCCTAATGAGTCGGCGAGCATTTCTAAAAGGGCTTCCCGGCTTGCAGAGAGGCAGGTGTGCCCCTCCTCAGACATACCGATTATCCCAGGGGGCAGGAGGGCCATGGACCCATCTAGGTCCCTAGCATGGAAAACTAGAGGTAGCCCATCTCTCCCGTTCCCAGCTGGGCCTTCGTAACATGCATCTGAGTCCTTTTGGAGGAGAGAGAAAGGCAGGGTAAAAATATATTGAATAATAAATGCATAATAAATTTGTATCAAACCAGCAGATTTACCCGCCTTGTGCACGACTTGTTCACTGACTAATAATTTTTCCATGCTCTGAGCATGACAATATCCCAGAGAGACACTGAGTACATAAGATGCTGCCACATCCTAAGCATGGAAAAAAGAGGTGTGTGTGTGTGTGTGCGTGCGTGCTGAGCGTGGAAAAAAGAGGTGTGTGTGTGTGCGTGTGCGTGTGCGTTTGGAGTTTCACTCCCAGAATCCAGGAAAACAGTATCGTGTAGTAGTTAGAGCGCTGGATTTAGGCTCAGGAAACCTGAGTTCAGCTCAGCGTCAACATGGAAAAGTCCTTGCACCCAGGTCCTACTTCCGAGCCTTCCAGGGGCGTCCGGCCAGCCGCTCAGGTGAGCAGAACCACAGCAAGGGAGGTTACCTTTGACTGCCACATCCATATTCCCCAGCTCTCATGCCTAACGGCCCTAATGGGTAGGTGGGGGATTCTGGATGTCGTAGTCCAGAGGGTAGCTCTCCCAGGATGCTGAAACAGAAGGGCTGGAAGGGTCCAACAGCCGAGCCTTCTTTACTGTGGCCCCAAATACCTGAGAAAGCAATGTGCAGTCTTTCCCAGAGGTCACCAGAAATCCAAAGCTATGGGGTGAAGGTGAGGGCGGCAATTTGGGTCTCCTAGCCCAGTAAGCCAAGGGACCAAGGGAGGAAGGTGACAGATGAGCTTCGCAGCTAGAAGAGGAGCTGGCTTAAGCAGTAAAGCAGGTGCGATTGTCCTCTAGACTAGATTGTCCTCTAACCGCTTCTGAAGCCACAAATTAGCCCTACAACTCTGGATCACTGTTTTTACCACTTTCTAATTATGAAGCTGCCCAGTTGTCTGTTTCGGCCCCATTTAGGTGAGCCCATTGTAAGCTCCAAAATGTTCCAGGGCGGCTTGGACTTAAAAAAAAAAACACACACACACACAGGATGCGATCCTGGAAACCTCTTTGTCTCAGGCACTGCAGGGATCACAGCCCAGGCAGGGCAGGAACAAGACTCTGCTGTCAAGTGAGGTGTGTTTTTAAAGAGCTGCGTCTAATTACCGAAGCCACCCTATTTTACGCTGCACCCAGTCTCTGTGAGCGTGGCAGCCTCACGCCCACCAGCCTTCCAGTTTCGCAAGAAAATCTTCCATCTGTGGGTGTGACCCTTCCCCCTCTCTCTGCCTCATCGCCGCCTCCCTGTGCATTCAGTGGCTGGGTAGTGGGCAGGAATTCAACAGGTGAATCATTCCCCATCATTAGGTTTCTCTCTGGGGACTGGAGGAGGGGATAACCTGCCCTAGGTCCTCTTGAAAAGAGAGGGGCTGCATCCGCGGGGTGTGTGTGTGTGGAGGAAGAGGGCAAACCACCCAACCTGAAAAGTTGTCTCTTCATTCCCATTTAGAGACCTGCCCTGCTTCACAAACTCTCCCGTCTTTCTCTCCAGCCTACCTTGCAGGGCTGTTGTGAGGCTGGAGGAGGAAGGGTAACGGATTAGCAAACAAAACAAAACTCTTTGATCTCCGGAAAAGGCCATCGCAGGGCCTGCCCCGAAGGCGTAACTTAAGCCCCCCCCCCCGGACTCCTGGGTCTGGAGACGTCTGTGGATGCTGGGAATTGGAGTGGAAAGCTGCGCACCCTTCCCTGGTTCGGAGGGAAACCTCCCCCCGGGCAAAAGGAGGCAATTTCCGAGCTCCCCCGCAATGGGGGGGGGTCCTTTGCGCCCTTACCAGACCACCAGCCCCCCTCAGCTCAGCCGGCTGGGGTCAGGATGAAGTCCGGATGGGGGAAGAGGACAGGCGGGCTTTTCAAAACGCGAGTCGTCAGTCATGGTATATATTGCAATTGGGATCTTCGATTTTAGTGCAATAAGCGTGTTGGATGTTTTTTAAAGTTTTATTGGGTTGGAAAGTGCCCGGGAGTGGCCTTGCAGCCAGACGGGCGGTAGAAAAATCAGCTCAATCCATCAGTCAATCAATCAATCAATCAATCAATGAGTCAATCAATCAATCAGAATCAGGGAGGGCCTTCCCGGCCGGGCGGGTTTTCCAAATCCTCTCTGGAGAGACAGGCGTCTCCGTGCCTGCGGGGAGCTGGTGCGTGGGAAGGAGCGTGCGGGAGGCGGCTCTTTCCTCGAGCGGTCGGGCGCCGTGTGAACGCGGCGCGGGAGAGACCCGGAGCGCCGGCTGCCGGTCCCCCCCCCGCCGCCGCCGCCTTTGCTTGCCAGCGGCGGATGCTGATGCTGATGCTGATGCCGCCGCGGCCGGGAGGCGCCCGCCCGCTTGACCCTGGCAC